ATTTTTTTTAAGACTCATTAACAGTGATGTATAATCCAACGGATGTGTCAGAAATACAAGTTAAACTCTACAGGAAGGGCATCGCTTGGTACACGGACAAAAACGTCAAGTTCCGTAACCCTCCGACCAACAACACATTCACTCTCCAACAAGCCTTTGAAGGTAGGCTACACAGCATACACCACACATTTATGAACATATGTGTCAGTTTTTCCTCATTGTTGTCTCTCTGTTTGTTCTCAGGCACGACTAGGCCCTTGTATTGGCAGCGTCCGGTTTATGAGCTGGATGACACAGACTCCAACAACAATGGCTTTATAAATGACGACCTGATTGGCTGGATGAGAGAGGCGGCCTTCCCTAATTTCAAAAAGCTTTATGGGGTTCTCAATCGTGCTCAAGGGCCTTTCACTGAAGGCCTGCCTGCCGGCAACTACACCCTCTCTATAAATTACAGTATCCTTGCTTGATGGAGAACAGAATTGGTTGTAAATGGAAGGAAATTGTTCAGCAGCACTGACAGGCTTTCAGTTTGGTGAAAAAACCTATTTAAACAGCTGACAAATTTACATAGTCACAATGTGATTTTTTTTGTTTAAAGGGATGGTTCCTCAAAAAATTAAAATTCTGTTATCGTTTACTTGCTTTCATGTCATTTTAAACCTCTATGACTTACTTTACTCTGAAGAACACAACATGTTTTGAAGTATATTGTTATGGTAACCAAACAATTTTGGTGACCATTGACTTATAATGCATGGGAAAAAACAACAACAAAACCCCCCCCCCCAGACATTTCTCAAAATATATTTTTTACATATTGCAGAGAAAGTAAGACACAGGGTTGGAACAACAAGAGTAAGTAAATGATGACAGAATTTTAATTTTTGGGTGAACTATCTCTTTAGGGGATCATGTTTATCAGTTACATTAGTTTGTTTGTTTGTTTTTCCTGTAACTAGGTTTTGCCTTGACCAATAACTCCAGATTTTCCTGTCGAGCCCTTTAGAGGTCGGAAGGAGCTGGTGATCTCAATGGTGACCTGGTTTGGTGGGCAGAATTACTTCCTGCCCATAGCATACCTGGTCACCAGCGGACTGATCTTGCTGACGGCTGTCGTACTCACAACGGTGTATGTGAAAGTGGGCAAAAAGGGCAAGAACATGGAGGAATAAACCAAAAGATGGAAATGTCCATCAGAAAACAATGATGTAAACATTGCACTTAAGAGTCATTATTAGGCACACTGAAAGCAGTTAAAATGTATTAAGTTAACTTTATATCGGCTTTTCTAATTTTGAGAATAAATTGTTTACCAAAACCTATTTGATACGATTCTATAATAATATTTATAGTCTTATATACAGTGGAAAATATACAGTAACAATCTGAGATTCAGAATAGCAATCAAGTGTGCAATTTGTGTTATTTTTTTTACTAAAATTGTTATGCTTAAAATATAATCTGTAATGGAAACAAACAAACCTGTGTTAAAGCAGAACATTGTAAAATATAAACATTTTCACAAGTGGACTTTTGAACTCCACTGTATGCTACATAATTATATCCTGATGAAATGTAAAAACTGGCCTGCATTTCCAGTCAGGAAATGAGTAATGGATAATTATAATTTCCAGCTGTCTTGAATCATGGCACTGGGGTCTTTTCTCACATTTGACATATTCTAAGTTTGGAATAGCATACTACTAATTTATGTATGTTGTATGTATATTGTGCATAGTATGCAAATTTACTTTCTACAGTAGCCTACATACCCATATGACTTACAATGTGTAAAATGTGCAGTAGACAAAGGGCACACTTAACTTGATCTAGTTACAGTGCGATGAATGAGCCAACAGCAACTGTATACTGTTTAAAAACAATTTATTAAAATAAATTATAAATAATATTATTCAGCATAAAGTGCGTCCCTCATGTATGCAGTAAGGAGTGTACCAGTAATGTGTCCTAACTGCCAGCAGGGGGCGTCTTTGACAATTTGTTTACCGAACTCTGCGTTTACTTGTTATATACAACATACAACACACAACAGTGCGTGGTAATTTTTCATTTAAAAGTTGCAGAAGATTACACTAGTTTACACACTTGGCTCATGTATTTGTTATGCGCCAAATAGTTTAAAGTGACTCTTTTGTCAGTATGTCAGTTTGGTATAATGCAGTGTCACTCAGTCAGACGCTAGAATAGTACTTAGAGGAAATTTTAGGGCTTTTGTCAGTCTAAATAGTTTGTGATTGTTTAATAATTGTTAATGATAAATTTATTTAGTAGATGACATATCAAAGTGTGACATAAGTGTTTTCTAATTTATAATTATTACACATGTATTATATCCATATATTATTGAGGGACTACGTGGAATTTGTCATTTAAAAATCTTTTGTCACTGCAAGACTACTTGAATGAACTACATAGTGTGTATTTAAAATATTGAAAAATAACATGTCTTTGTGTTAAAATATACATTTCAGCGTATATCTTTATATACATTTTAAAATGAAATTTTGATGTTGGAAAAAAAAAGACATTTTGAAGCTCAAATCTGTTAATATGCTTTGGGATTTCAGCTGCTTGGGTCACATTAGAGGTGTGTTTATATTTTGATATATTAATGTGAATAGTAAAGGAGTAAAAATAAGAAATGGCACTGCTGAATAAATTTGAAGGCTAGGATACAAAGCTATTAATTAATCCAGCTGCCTGGTTTTTGTAATTACATTTTATTTTTTAATAAAATTCAATTTAACATTTTAAAATTGTTTTCTATACAATCAATCTACAGTACCAATCATCATTTAGAGACAGATGTACAGTCGGCAGACACACATGAACACACACACAGGCTTGTGGATACAGTGCACAGAAACACATTACATAGAACTCTGATAAGATTTCAAGAACTACAAGCAGACATGCACATACACGACTGAATCTGGTACACTTTAAAACACAAGACACTGAAACATACAGGCATGTCCATAGCACCACCACTGTGGACATTTCTTTGCTTTAAGCCAGTAAACTAACGCAAGTACCGAATTATGATTTATAATGTTGTAGTAAATGACAAACATAACAGTGTACTATTTTGACTTTGAACATGCAACATCCTGGTATCCAAAATCCATAGCGTGAGGCAATGTTTGGTCTGACAACATTAAATCAAATGGATAATATGCTTGGATTGATTATCCATCAGGTTGTTTGGTCTTCAAGTCAACAATAATAATAAAAAAAAGATATATAAAAGACAACTTGGCACAGAGTGAATCCTGTTATAGGCAAGAATGTCGGTGTTTTGCTCTTTAACCTTTGACCGCTAAAGGGTCACATTTGGTAAAGTATCCATTAGGACAGTGTAACTATGGAAGCAGTGCATGCTTGGTAGCTTAAACTCGACCTGTTAGTGGTTTGGGAGTATTAATACAGACACATCAGCAGCAAAAATAAAATGGATTTTTGCGTGGCACAGGTTGACGTGCATGACTAATAATATACTTAGCATGAATGTCTATGTGCAGTCATGCACGGAGGACTTTTCCATGGAAATTGAAAATGCAGCACCAGCACCATTGCTGTACCATTATTTTTAAGAAAGGCCTTGCTAGTTCCTGCGCTGAATAAATGTTTGTCAGTCCGTCCTACTTAAATTTATTCAGACTTAACTGAACAATGCACACAACCATCATCTGTTCCAAAACCTTGTGAGCTACCTAGCAAGACAGCATTTTAAGGCACCAAATGTTCTCTTCTGTTCTGACTTTCAGCAACTAGCACGGATTTGTCCAGACTGTAAATTGGGGCAAAAATCAAGACAAAAGTTCTGTATTCGAGCTTTAAGTCAGTGACTAACGATACGAGGCATCGATGCAACCCATGAAAAAAATTATATATATTTTTATATATCTGTAAGATATACTAGAAAACTTGTTTGACTGTTGTTTGTTTCCAGTACAAGTACATTGTTATAACAACTCAGTACCTAATTTAGAATTCAGAACACTAGATTTGCCCAGAAGACTGAAAGACTTTCTTGACTGTTGTCATGGTTTATATCATTGCACAAGCCAATGATGAACTGTCATCAGATGACTGATGATCTCATGTGTGACTTGATTTTTTGTTGAAGATACAGAATTTGCAATTTTCAGAGTTCAATTATTATATTTTGGCTGCATTTGTGAGTTGAATTAAAAAAAATTCAAACGGGCAAATAATATCGTACAATTGATAGATCAACCGCAGGCCCCTGAATCTATTAAACTGTAACCAGATCGAAAATATTCTATCTCTGGCTAAGAAAACCAATGTCAGATGTGCACCCCTATAAGTTAGTATGCTGCATTGTTAAGGCAGGTGTCTATGTAGGCAGTATAGATAGCAAGTTAACTCACCAGGTTTTGGAACAGAACTAGAGAAACCAGCACAGGCCTGTGTTGCTATGTCACAAAGAAGGCACCTATGTAACAGCAGAATACAATACAACAGTGCAAAATGACAGTGAATCACAGTGTTATGAGAGTGTTTGTCTATTCATTTGAAATGCGATCATTTGTTATTCTGCGTGAGGGTGGTTTTGTTGAAAATATCTTTGCCTAAAGGGAAAAATGTGCCTTACAACGAGTGATCGAGTCGAATACATCTCCGCTCTCTGAAAAATGCACAGATATCTAAGGACTCACAGTTTGATAGCAGAGCAGTCACATATTATGCACTCGTACTCACACATTTAGACATATGAACACACAAAACACCCACAAAACACAGTAGTGTAACGAGATCTCTGCTGTTCTCTCTCTCCTGACATTCCTGTGTGTTATTTCAGTGATAGGACTTGCGCGGCATACAATTTGAGACGGCACATTCTGATCTGATCTGCAGATTTCTGGGAAAGGTAGTGTTCAGCCGTGGGCTTCCAAAAGGGTCCGCTCTTCTGCGATTGGTCAGTCTTTTTTCTGACACGGTGCATTGTGGGTATTCTGTGGCACTTGGTACAACTGTCCCTCTGTGGGTGTGGCTTGATCAGATGTGCTCTTGGGTGTGTCATAGGCTGAGCTTGCTGATTGGCTGCTGTCTGTCCGAGCCACTAAACCACGCCCCCTGAATGGTAGAGTGCCTCCTGATAGGTGGTTAGCTCTGTCAATCATGATTGGCATGGCATATTCAGTGCCAGACGCAGGAAGGGGCTCAGCGTAAGCATGGTAATGTTCAGGGGAAATAGGAGCATCATACTCAGGGGCATCGGCTTCTTCGGGCTTGAACGTTGACCTTTGTCCAAGAGAGGCCATTGTACTGGTGACAAGTGGTTGGGCGTATTCTACACAGAGAGGAAAGGCAGAAAATAGATTGTTCAAGTGTTTGTTGGAGAACATAAAACTCATTTGAACAGTTTGTTTGTATGTGTACCTGCAGGCTCCACCCGGGGTCTCTGGGGGTCTACTCTTGCCGTGGAACTGTAACGAACGCAGTCTTCTCCATCCAACTTAGAGGGCAGCAACTGTTTCATACTCTTCCACCACACTAAAGCACACATTCACGCACATTTAATCATTTATGTAGGTGGAAATGCAAAAGAGTAAACAACTGAGAACAGACGCACCTGTGCGCTCCCAGTGTGGAAGGTCATAAGTCACCTCCGGGCTTTTTCTGAAGGTTTGAATACAGATGGTGAACATTATCATCTCAAATGGCTTGTCCTTTAAGCCTATTTGCATTAAAGGTCTTTGCACACCGAGCCCGAAATTCTCGACCGGAATTTTCGCACGTTAAAAAATAAATATGACCTCACGTTGTGTCAATCACGTTTACACACTGCCTCCAAAACTTTCGTCCGTCATAAAAAAACATTCGGACCAGGTTCGATTTTCTGCGTTTTCGCATCTGTAGCAAGCATTTTGATAGGAAAGGATGCCGAATACGTCAGTGTGCAAGACCTTTAGTTTACATTTTCATGAATAACAAGGTTTTAATATTAGGCTAAAATAAAGTAGTCAACATTTGAGGTGGATCAAAACCTTTCATCAAAGTTGTCGTAAAACCAAAACAATACCCATTCTTGCCTTAGGACAACTTTGATTAACTTTATTGATCCATTTCAAATGTTGACTACTGTATTGTAGCAGAATGATCTATTGGTGATTTTTTCAACTATTTGGATCACACATTTTGTTGAGATATCGAAATGTTTTTACTGACCTGTTCTTCCACAGCCACGAGCACACTATGACCAACACAGGCATTGTCAGAACCACCACCAATACAGGAACCAACACTGCCACCAGCGCCACCTCTGTTACATTAATAACATTAATCTAGTGTCAATTAATACTGTTTTGTCTAAATAAATTAAAAAAATTAAAAACTAAATTCAAAATGCTGCAAATAATACTAATACTAAATACTGTATTCAATACTAAACAGTAATGAAGGATGGATTAAACTAATTAGAATTTGGCTATTTCACCCAATTTTTGCATGTGATTTGTATTTTTTAATCATTGTTAACTTAGCAACATGCTAAAATGAGAATCCTAAGTGAGTGCACTTCATATGAGAATCAAATGAAAAGAGTGTTTGCTGCCTACATAAAACAAATTAAAATAAGTCATTTATGAGGTTACATTTCACAAAGAATGCTGCCTGAGGGGCCATTCACACAGAATATGCTTTAGCCTTCCAGTGTGCTGCTTTTTCATTGTTTTTAATGTAAAAGTGCTAGACAGAAGTGTTTGACCATTGCATTCACTGCTTGCTTATGACAGGATTATAATAACCCGGTGGTCAAGTTAAAAGAAAAAAAAAAACTCGAGGCCATGAGTTTTTTGTCATTCCATTGCCTTACATTTTTAAACCAAAAAGTGCAATCTGTGTGAATGAAAGGCCCCTAAGAAAGAAGATGCCCATATAGACAGAAAGGCAGCTCACTGAGGTTTATAACAAAGCTCATTTGTTAAATAACTGAATGAAGTGTGTTCTTACCATCGTGAGAGTGCGGAGGCATGGTGGTGTTTCGGATGTTGGGTGTGGGTGTTGTTTTCTCCTGTAGGGGGGGCACTGTGCTTTTTCTGCGAGGGGGAGGAGGGGCTGGATGGAAGATTCTTGGCCTCGCTGACCAACAGAAAGAGATCCAATCATGTTTAGCATAGCTAATTGGCCGAATCGGAGTCCGATTTCTCTGATTAGTCTCACCTGCATGAGGTTGGCAGCCCAGCAGCTCCATTTTAAGGGCGATTCTCTGGTGCCACTGCAAGGGACATATTCGGATGAAGCGCGCTTCAATTGGAGGAATAAAGTTGTTCCGCACTTCCTGGAGATAGTTGGTGTTGCCTTGGAAAATCTGTTACAGAGACACAAGGACACATTGCCTTGGCAACAAAGAACATTTGGCCTCAGACCAAGGTCCATCTTATTTACGCCTAATCAATGCGCTTCTCGTTAAGCTCCCTGACAGTCGATGGACATTCATTATTAATGACCACAGAGTGCACTTTAATTTCAGGCTCCTTAAACCTCAGGAATGTAAGTAAGAGGGAGAGAGATGCAGAGTTATCATTCTGTCTACCAATCAATCGGTTTATTGCATAGAAGGAAAAAAAACTCAACCAAAAAACGGAATCAAATCTAACTAGATTTGCATTTCCAGAAAGAAATACCAGTGCTTGCAAGGCAGCAAAATGCTTTAATAAGTTGAGGTTTTGGGCTTTGATTCTGAGCAAATGAAATGCAGCATCAGAGATGTTTTGCACACAGCATGCATCTAGTTTTCCACCAGCTGTGCATGAGAAGCAACACACAACGCAAGATCATCTTCACGGTGTAGACAATCATAGATAGCTGCAAATAAATGCATCCAGTATGCAAATGTTAAGCTGTCGCTTAAGCTGTGTTCACGTCATGTCGGAATTACCATAATTACCAGATGACAATTTAGAGCAGTTCAGGTCCTCTGACTCAGAAAGTATTCGTTTCTATGGCAACACACGATTCATAATGAAAAGACAGATCCACGTGCTGCTTTGTTGTTTATGACGGTACTTAATTCACTACATTAATTCACCTCTGTATGCTCTTGTGAAATACTGAAGAACAAAAAAACGACTATAATAACTATAATATATTTAAGTCAAAGCTTTGATAAAATTTACTTTCCAACTTGTAATTACAAGTTCAAGAAAAATAGAGACGGTTTTTACTTGTTGGAAAACTTATTAGACTAATTCCATACTTGCTAAAAACTATAATGAATATGTATAAAAAATATACATGTACATATAAATATACATGAGATAGATAGATAGATAGATAGATAGAGAGATAGATAGATAGATAGAGAGATAGATAGATAGATAGAGAGATAGATAGATAGATAGATATTGTAGAAAGGGGGTTCCTTGCAATATTTGGAGGGTCTTTGGCAAAAAATTGGAAAACCACTGCATTGCACAGTTAAAGGGAATTAATTTGCAGAAAAGACTAAGAAAAAGAGGAATTTCAATACTGCACTCTTGCAAGCCCTGTAATCAAATGAAATATATTTTCCCATGAAGAAAGCAAGCAAGAATGCAAATGGGTTACTCACGGCACAGATGTCACATTGTTGGCCAGCGAGCTTTCGTAGTGTGGGATGCCTTTGCTGCTGACCACACTGATTTGCCCCCCCAGAGTGTTGGAGACCACACCCGCATGAACACCGGCCAGACAGAGAGGAGAAGACTGCAGAAAGAGACGGTGAGACATTAAGGCAGCTGACACTGACTCACTCACCTAAAACCCACAAGCTGTGACTTGGCATGATGAGGTCACATCCTTGAAGCAAAATTGCAGTGGTATCATTCAAGCCACTGTGATAAAGAATGATGGATGGTTCATTTGACTAACTTCTTCCAGGGTTTAGACAGACAGACACACACACATAGAGTTCTCACAGGCCACATACACATTGCAAATTTTTGGGAAACACAAATGGGTCTATTCTATTCTATTGGGGAACACTATTCAAAAGTTTGGGCTCAGTAAGAAAAAATAAAAATGTAATACTTTTATTCAGCAAGGACTCATTAGATATTGGTAATATTACAAAAGATTTCTATTTAAATAAATGCTGTTTTTTCCTAAACCCCCCCCCCCCAAAAAAAAAACTATCACAGATTCTACAAAAAAAAGCAAATTTTTTTCACTATATTAAATTAGTAATTGCTCCTGTAATTAATTGCAGCCTTGGTAAGCATAAGAGACTTAATCTCTTAAATTATCTTTTGTGTACAGTCAACCTTAAACCTTAAACTCAGGATATGGTGATAACCATAGCAACATGAGTTGTTTTTCAAGAAACTAACATTAGCTACCAGAAATGTATTATTATTATCCTGTAATTCTTGGTAAACTACAGCTGACAGACGTCCACCATTTAATTTGCTCATTAAAGGGATAATTCACCCAAAACGGCCATCCTTTAATCACCCTCATGTTGCTCCAAACTTTGTATGATTTTTTTCCCCTTCTGCACGTGGAACAAAAAACGTCTTGAATGTTTCAACTGTTTTGGCCATAGAATGAATGTCAAAAGGGTCCAAAAAGAAAAAAAAAAAGCCATTGTATACACTTTTTCAAAATATCATCTTTTTTCTGAGGAGAGAGTAAGTCATGCAGGTTACGTTTGACACAAGGGTGAGAAAATGCTGACTGATATGCTTCTGCTTTGTTCCTGCTCTACTTTTGAACATTTGAAATCAACTGAAAAATTGGCTGTCAGTTACAGGTGTCATTCCAATAAATAACCAAATCTGTTTGTGTCCATTAAAAGAATCAGGTCAGATGCAACTTGGTTTTGATTCTTTTTCAATTGTGAATGTTGACTATACAAAGTTATTCTGCATGCATTCTGTGGACTACTGATGAAGAATAGCGGTAAAGCTTGCCAGAAAATACAACTCATTTAGCAGCTTATGAGGAGACAGGAAATGTACCACATTTGCCATCTGCTGTGGCAGCACATAAAGGACGAAACGCAAGTATCATTTACACACCTAATGTGCATCCTACCCTCTATTTTGTTGAATTAGGGCCTTAAAAAGCTCCTTGTCTTTCTTAATAAGTTCCCTAATGTGTCCTAGAGCTGCACAATTAATCAAATAAACAAATCAAGATTATGTTTACAACAGATATGTCTGCTGTGCATGTGAACGTAACATAATCAGACGCATTTAAATCAGTCTTATAAGCCTGTCAGCAAGAAAAACAGTCCTAATAAACAAGTTTTAAACAATCTGATCCACAGATGCATGTTTTACAGTGCACTTATATTTGCGGTGGCACTCGAATGCACATCATGCTGAAATCACGACTTCCAAACTCGTAAGCTGAACTTCCCAGAAGGACTTCAAGCACTCAGGAGAAAATAACAACCACATCTAACTGCAATGTGTACATGGCCAGAGTCACTTGCTGCCCAACACTGGAATAATAGTAAAATTGCTAGTTTAAAAAGAAAAAATGACAGTTCTGATTAAACATACACACACAGTTGGGACTCCAAACCAAAAAGAGACCACAAGCACTAGACAAACTCTCAACACCCACACACACTAGGCAAACTCTCAACATCCACACACACCGACACCGCAAACATACACCACTTCCTCTGGGCAAAATAAAACACCACTCTTGCCACAAACAACGCGTGCACACACACACACACACAATCGTAAAGGCGTCATATGGGCCCCACACTAATTCTGAGGGTGTATCTGAGCTGAGAAACAAGACTGTTGTCAGCTGGTCTGCATTAGAAAACCATTCAGCCAAACCTGATCTAACATCTCCCCGAGAAACACGCTGTCATACACACATAAAAACACGCACACGCATACATCCAAACACACAGACGCGCATACCAACACGCCCCTAGGAGACCAAGAGCTCTAAAACTGACACGCAGAATCATTTACAATGACTCAACTTCAGAAGAATGTCTGCTTCACGCTCTGTCTTTCCCTCAAACTCATATTCATACACCCTAAAGTTTGAAACATGCTCTCAAGAAGGAAACTGCCTATTGTGTTCAAACAGACAAAATGAAATCATCTAAACAGTTTTAAAGCAAGCAGGAAGCATTAAAGCAGTGATGATGATAATGTACGGCTAAGACAGTGTGCGGTCGTGCTAAAAGAAATATTCTTCAGTTAAATACAGCTGACAGCATCTGTGACATGCTTTTCATCACCATGGACAATCATTTTGACTCATACCTTAATCTGTAAAAACATTAGTTGATGCAATTATACTGTGTTTTAAAGATGCTATTGCTTTGAAAACACAACCAAACAGTTAAACAACACGTGTTAAAAATATTATAGCTGCCTGCGTGATATAATCATTTATTTGTGAACCTGTGCAATTTCAAGAGCCTGTAAGACTTTCAAAAAAGATGCAATTCATTGAAAAAAAAGATTTCTAAGTGAATGCCTCCTCTCTTGTAGTACATCAATACATATTCCTTATGGAATGAAGGACAGTTTTTATAAACATTTCTTAAGAATGTAAAGACTTCAGACGGAACATTTCAAACATGAAGCCCTAAGAGAATATTTTTCTTTGAAGAGCTGAATCACTGCAGTTAAAGAGGATAAACAAATCATATAATGCAGAAGCAACAGCGCCCGCACTTCTTGTGTCCCTGAGCATGTCTGGTTTGTTTGAGTCAGATCTTTTCAGTGATCTCAAGGATTCAATGTGGTCACAGTGGTTCTCAAGTTGAGAGCTCACTTGAGAAGAAGATAATCAGTGAATAATGACTTAAAGGGGTCACATGATGTTGCTAAAAAGAACATTATTTTGTGTATTTGGTGTAATGAAATGTGTTTATGCGGTTTAAGGTTCAAAAAACACATTATTTTCCACATACTGTACATTATTGTTTCTCCTCTATGCCCCGCTTTTCTGAAACGCGTTGATTTTTACAAAGCTCATCGGTCTGAAAAAGCGAGGTGTGCTCTGATTGGCCAGCTATCCAATGC